ACCTTTCAACGGGCGCCCGAAAACCATTAGCCTCTCTCGCTTGTTCCATTTCGCTCGGAGTCCTTGTCTAAGGAACGCCTCTCCGGCGGATATTATTCGCCGGCTAATCGAATGTCGCCGCGATCAGCGCGTCCCATGGTCAAGATTCGGATTTTAATTGCTTCCGGATCGATCCTGTTGTCCGCCCGTCCTGTCGCGTCTGTTCGCTCGCCAATCCGTCCGTCCGTCCGTCCGCGCTCGTTCTATATACAGGGTGTCCCAAAAATGTCTCGCAAACCGGAAATGAGAAATTCCTCGGATCATTTGAAGTAACTTTTTCATCAGCGAAAATGCAAACCGCTGCTTCGTTTACGAATTATTAACGAAAAACGTTGACCAATGAGAGATCGTGTACGACTGTATATATAATATACTAATAAGATCCGAAAATTATGGCACTTCCTGGAAATTAAAGAGTTCCCGAGGTCATCCGAAGTAACTTCTTCCTTTACAAAAATGTTCTCCGAGGCGTCGTTCACGAGTTATTAAAGAAAACACGCTGACCAATGAGAGGCGAGCGCTCGGCTGGCGCGCGGCGGCCGAGCCAATGAGCGCGCACGAAGCCCAGTTCCGTTCATTGGCTCGGCGGTCTTGCGCCAGCATATCTCACCTCTCATTGGTCACTCTTTTTCGTTAATAACTCGTAAACAAAGCCGTGGATTGCATTCTCGCCAAGGACAAACTTACCTCAAATTATTATTATATTAAAAGTTAAAGTTATTATATTAAATCGCGTTTTGTTTCCATCTGGTTTCGCAGAAAAATAAGATAAGAATGGGATACAAACACGAAAAAAATTTGTACGAAATGAGTAAGACGAATACCTTTAAAATTCATAAATAAAAATATCGAGCGCACATTACACAAACAACACAGTCGCAGCTGAACACAGACTAAACAAAAACGTCCGTTTTATAGTTTCTAACCTAACACCTCGGGAACCTCCCATTTTCGGATTGCGGGACATTTGTTGGGAGGACACCCTGTGTGTATACATAACCTATAACGTGTAGCATATTTCTCGTCGATTCGTTCCGTGCCGGTCGTTGACGAGCCGTTGCATCATTTCCGGTCCGGTTGGCTCGTCGACGAACCTCCGCAGTCGATTACGTCATCGATCGTGTTCCCACCGAATCTGGGATATTTCGTTGACATACCGCGCCGATGGAAATGAACAGGACAGGAAAGAGGAAATTGACTTCGCTACCGGAATTGGCGCAATCTTTTCAAACGGAAAAAGAGGGTAGTGGACTTTCGATGCGCGCGCACGATCTTCTTTACAATGCGCCGTGCTATTTTCGTTTTGTATTCTTTTCTTTGCATTCTTGGTCCCGTTTTCCGTCGATCCTTTATTCGAGACTGCGTCGGAGAACACTATGTTTCTGCATTTTTATTATTTACCAAGCGCATTTATTTATCTATCTGTCTATTGATTTATTTATTTGTCTATCTGTCTATTGACCGATTTATTTATTTATCTACTCATCTATTTATTTATTTATCTATCTGTCTATTGATTTATTTGTTTATTTATTTATCTATCTGTCGATTGATTGATTGATTTATTGATTTATCTATCCGTCTATTGATTTATTTATTTATTTGTCCATCTGCCTATTGATTTATTTATTTATTTGTCTATCTGTCTATTGATTGATTTATCTATCTATTTATGTATTTATTTATTTATCTATCTGTCGACTGATTGATTGATTTATCTATCTGTTTATTGATTGATTGATTTATCTATCTGTCTATTTATTTATTTATCTATATGTCTATTTATTTATTTATTTATTGATCTATCTGTCTACTGATTGATTTATTGATTTACCTATCTGTCTATTTATTTATTTATTTATTTATCTATCTGTCTATTGATTTATTTATTTATCTATCTACAGGAGAGCACAAATTTTGCAACGATGTCTGCGCACTACTTTCGTTCGCGTATTTTTCGAGCCGGTCGACTTTTTGTACCCTCGACGGCCGCGCGCGTCCCCCCCTCCCCCACTTTTTACCGCCGCTGCGGGAACGGCCGAAGAACTCGCCGAAAGATACAAGGTTATGTCAACAGCCTCCTCGATTATTGCGAACCGTCGCGGTGGGATTAGGTTCTAATTATAACAACTGAATTAAGGACGTGATCGACGAATTGCTAAAACGTTAGCACAACAAGAGTTACCGTGCGGACGACTGAAAATAGTTAATTTTCTTGATTGCTCGCGAAACGCCGGAGCCGTGAAAATAGTGCGAACTCGATAATGAAAACTCGTCGATCGGTTAACTGTGGCGCTTCCTTCACAGAGGGCGCGCCTATATGTATATGCGCGTCGCGAGAATCAAGCGACGACGACGAGTATACTCGTCAAGCCATAGCTCTGATTGGTTGACGGACATAATTAAAATGTTTTTTTTGTTCCAAATGAGATCGCCTTGTAACCGTCGCCGTATTAAGACAGCGCGGACCGGGACCGAACCCGGCCCGACGGGACCAGAGTAGAAGAGAATGAGAACGCTGGTAAAAAAAAAAGTAATTTCCATTGTGTTTCCAGGATGGCACCAACGAAATGAGCGCCAGCCCGAGCACCGAGCAAGCTAGCCTCGAGATGGAGACGCCTCTCGAGGACAATAGCCTGAAAGTGGTGTCCCCCGTGCAGAATGTGGCGCGGCAGGATTCAGGGGTCCCGGAGGATCTCGCGTCCCCATTGGTCGACACGAGCGCGCTGTTGAACGAGGAGGATCCCGACGGCACGATGAACAGCGACTGCAACATCACGGTCATCCATGTGACGGAGTCGGAGGCCCATAAGACCGATCAGACGCTGTCCGTGGACAGGAAGGATTACGCCGGCGAGGGAAAGGACAGCAAGGACGGCAGCGACAGCGGCGTCGAGGGTTGCGCCACCGAGGTTCCAAGGGTAAAGATCCATCGATCCGAGCGCGAAAAGGAGGCGGGTCGCGTCGCGCTGGTCAATTATTAAACACGGTTCCCTTCGACTTCGACTCGGCCGCCGTACAGATTGTGAATGGGAGCCGAGGCTATTTATCTATCTATTTATATATATTTATTTATTTTATTTATTTATTTATTTTCTATTTATTTATTTGTTTATATATTTATCTATTTATTTAACTATATATTTATCTATTTATTTAACTATATATTTATCTATTTATTTATCTATATATTTATTTATATATTTATCTATTTATTTATTTATTTATTCATTTATCTATCTATCTATTTCTTTCTTTCTTTATCTATCTGTCTATTTATCTATCTATCTATTTATTTATTTATTTATTTATCTATCTGTCTATTGATGGATTTATTTATTTATCTACCTATCTATCTATTTATTTATTTATCTATCTCTCTATTGATTTATTTGTTTATTTATTTATCTATCTGTCTATTTATTTATTTATTTATTAATGATTTAAGCCAAACGGTTTATTTGGCAACAAAATTGTTCGCTTTTCGAACGGTTCATCAACTCTGTACGATTGTTGCAGGCGCGAAGCAGAAACAGCCTAGACTACGCGAGCAGTTGCGGCGGCCTGGACGAGGCCTCCTGCGACTCTAGTTTAGTGAGCTGTTGCTCCGTTTACGAGGACCCCTGCGCCACCCTTCCCGACGACGTCAGGCTGACCACCGGCGGGGAGGGCACCAGCGAGGGTGGCAGCGAGAGCTCGTCGATCGCGGGCAGCGTGTCCGCCAGAGCGAACCGAACGAACACGAAGAGGACGGTGGCCGCGTCCAGCGTCGGCAAGAAGAAAGCGACCGCGACCGAGGCGCAGAAAAATGTCAGGGCCAAGCCGACCCCTCTGACCACCAGCTACGCGGCGGCTACGCCCAGGTATGCTATCATCGACAACCCTATATAATTTCATAAAATTATATAGGATTTAATAAATAATATATATAATTATATTATTATATTAATTTTATATATATATTATATATATATTTATATAATATTTATTATAATATATTATATTAATTTTATATATATATTATATATATATTTATATAATATTTATTATAATATATTATATTAATTTTATATATATAATATATATATATTTATATAATATTTATTATAATATATTATATTAATTTTATATATAT